AGTGTAATGTAAATGGGTAAGCCATATTAGTCCAGTAGAAAAGATGTATCAAAAAAACAAAAACGGAGTATTGTAGTATGCGATGATACCTTTCTTATTGGACTAACAAAATATATAAAAGACAAGCTTTCGAGAGTTAACCTCTCTTCTTCAGGTCAGAAGCAATCCTAATCAACATGACAACGTTAACCACTTAAAGCAAGAGAAAGTTGTTAGGGAGGGGGGGGTGAGTGGGGTGTCATAAATGTTGGACCTGGGAGTAAAGAATGTATCCTGATAACTAGAACACAGAACAAATAAACATAGGATGACCAATAAATCCTGCACAGATCAGGGATATACAACATACATGAATATTATTATGTTCTGTATATTCATAAAAGGTTCTGGTAGTGTGTAAGAAAACCAGAATCCACATTAAGTCCCTCCTTTATGGAATTGAAATGTAAAATCATTTTTATTTCGAAAGTTTTTCTTTCATGAGAGTTTTTAAAATTTCCTTTCAGTACTTTTATATTGCGGTTTTGGATGGAGTGATCTTTCTGGGAGAAGTGATGTCCTACTGGGGTGCAATATTCATTTTCTTTGTGGTTCTTGATCGAGCTCCTGTGTAGGTTCATCCTGAGATGCAGCTTAAGGCCAGTTTCCCCAATGCCTTTGTCACATGCTAAACACTGTATCATATAAACCACGCAGGGCCGTCTTTAAGGCAGGGCAAAAAGGGCATTTGCCCCGGGCCCAGTGATTGCCTTGGGGCCCAAAGCAGCTGCCCCTTGACCACTTGTAGTGTCAGACTGCAAACCCAGCTCTGACTGTAACTCAGGAGGTGTGGGGGCACAGGAGCAGAGCTCAAAGCAAAGTGTGCATAAGCTGTGACAGTGTAGCAGGTGGATGGGGCACTGTCACAGGAACGATGTACTCAGCTCTTCAGACGTCTTGGGCTGTGTTTTCCCCGTATGTCTCTGACAGGAAGTTAGTGCTGATGATAAGAGCCTCAGCTTTTGCCCGGAGCCAGATAGGAGGTAATATTATAATCAGAGGATTGAGTGTTCCTGAGAGAGAGTGACGGTCCCTGCATGGACTGAGGGAAGCTTTTCCTGCTGCAGACAGAGGGTGACAGTCCCAGCAGGGAGCTGCGTTCCACGTCCCCCCCTGTCATCACTTTCTTCCAGCTCTAGTCTGTGAATATTCATACTAAAGAAATTTTTTTCAGCCAGATTGGAATAGAATCCTATTTTATATGTGTTAAATTTTCCCAACACAACATAACCGTTTAAACAAACATTGCTGTTCACCTTTTTACTTGCTGGATATTCTTATATTTCGACAATTGAATGTAATGTTAAGGATGGGGCTGGAAGTAATGGTCACTATAATTAATCCTGTGTGTACTGGCTCATGATCAGATGTACAGGACTGTCTGTACTAACAAAGGGTTAGTGATCTCAGGTTTGGCTGGTGCATTGCATATTACTGTCTCTCACTTTGCACGGTTAGTAGCTGGAATGCACTAGATCGCATAATAAAATTCTCCCGCGTGCATGCATGACCTATTTTTTGCGACTGGTGCAGTCATTTTTGTGTTCTGGTGCAGTTAAATGCACTGCAAGGCAGGAGACGTGGCTGTGGTGCCATTGACTTGAATGTATCTCCAGGCCCCCTCCTGCCCCAGAACACAGGGAACATTTTATAATGCGATACAGTGCATTCCAGCTACCAACCGTGCTGGAACACACTGGATTAGGTTAAACAAGCCCCTTGATGTGATGGAAGCTGCCTGTAGAGTCCTGTGTGTAATCTGCTAAAAAAACAAATAGAAAAGTAAGAAATACTTTGTAAATGTGAATTGGGTGTGCTATATGAATGTGAAAATGTAACATATAGTGGGGGGCTGAAAATGCACTATATAGAAATGTCACCAGCACATCAAATCCTTTTAGGATAGCAAAATGATAATTTATTTGCCTTTCCTTGTCAGAAAAACAAGCGCCTGATGAAAGGACCCTGCATGGTCCCGAAAGCGCTTGTTTTTCTGACAAGGAACTGTAAATAAATAAACATTTGGCTATTCTAAAAGGATGTTTTGGTGTGCTGGTGACATTTCTATATATTGCTGATGTTTGTGGCGCCATCCGCATTCACTGCGAGCACCCACCCCATTACAAGGGGTTAAGGAGTGCGACAAGTAAAGATGTTTTTTTGTCAATTGTCAAAATCCTTGCACTGGCCCTGCTGTACAGTGCATATTGTGACCATATGATGTTTCACAGGGTGAAGGGGGCGGGTGGAGGGGGCCCAAGAAACCCTGGGCATTAATTGCCCAGGGTCCAATTCATAATAAAGATGGCCCTGACTCCATCCCCCCTTCCTCTGGTGCAGCCCCACCCCTCTCCCCCTGTTCCTCTCCCGTTCCCCTCACCAAATCAGATCTGACCCCTGAACCAGGATCCAAACATGCCTCCGTATAGCTTTCTGTCCCTCAACGTAAGGGGTATGAATATCCCTGAAAAACGAACCGCGGTACTACATGAACTCCATAGACAGCGAGCTCACG